TCGGCGTCTCTTGTCCTGAAAAGATTGTGACTCTCCCTCTGTTAGTTTGAGGCAGAGGCATGTGGTGTCTATCTGTCTGCCGGGTGTGTGGTGTGTGAGTGTGGTGTGTAAGTAACTGAGTGTCGGCGGTGCATTAATGACAGGACAGTGACGTCACGTCCATCTATCTGGCTTGTGTAGAGTGTGCTTGAGATGACTGACTGACTGATGCACTGATGGATGTGGGGGAATCGATGCGTGTGGGATGGTAAGAAAGACTGACTGAGAAGAAGTCTGACCGATTGATTATCTATCGTCGTGTGGAGCCAACGATACGATTTGTGCGAGGCAGAGCTCTCACCCTACAAATACAAATGGCCGTTAACTGTACACACACACACACGCACATACACATATACAGACAGATACAGATGTACGCGCAAGTCCACACACATGACATGGTCACTCACTCACTCAGCCGTCCGGCTTGGAGTCAGCCAACCAAGCAGCTGTGTGTATTATATAGCTCACCACACACACACACGTATGTCGATAACGCACATCCATCCAGCCAGCCAGCCAGTCAGTCTCCTGAGGACCCCTCCCCACGGCTGCCTCTACGATGGGGACGAATTATGCACAGACAGACACGTCATGTACAGCACACCCCACAGCCTCACCCACTCACCCACCCCACCCAGGCCTCTCCTTCTTCGGTCGGTCAGGTGGGTGTGGTTGTGGGTCAGATGGCCTTGTCTTTGGGCGGTGAAGATGGTGAGGATGCTTTCCTCACCCGGAAGACCGACAGGTACGCCTTCCGCTTCCGAGCCACACCCAACACCAACCGATAAAACACCACACACGTCACCGCCAGCACGCCCAGCACACCAGCCGCCACCAAAAGCCTCTCGCGATATAACCGGGACTCAAACCTGACCACACACAGGGAGGGTATGCAGCAATAGGCGTGTGTGGTTTGGCATTTGGGTGTGGAGTAGTGGTTGGTGTGCTGCCTGGCTGGCTGGCTGACCTCCTGACGATGTGTATGGCTTCAGCAAAGTAAGCGAGAGCGTTGATGAGGGCCACGATCTCGTTCCTCTCGAGAGACACAACTCGATAGTCGGCCGCTGACGCCTGCACACATACACAGGGACGGGGACCACACACACATGCGGCCAGTCCACCCTGCTGTCTGTGTGTGTGTTGGTGTGTGTGGCTCTCTGACTGACCCTGAGTGCGAGGCTGAGTGCGGTCATTTTGAGTCTGCCGTGCAGGCGGCACTTCTCGCACTCCACACAGTCGAGGATCCTGGTAATGTTGTGGAACTGACGAAGGGCCTCAGAGGACCTGACACGACACACACAGGCCATCCATACAAATGGACGTACGTACGTACGTACACGATTGATTTGCGCTAGTTAGTCCTCTGGCTCACTGACTTCTTTTCGAAGAGTGGTTCGTCCATGTATTGCGGTCGGCATGATGCGAACGTATGGTTGAGCAAGTGGAACAGGTCGGCACGCGCCTGCAGGTCCTCCGACTTGTTCCCTGCAATGCACCAGACCAGACCACCACACCCCACACATCGAAATCGACAGGGCACAGCACACGTCGTGGATGGGATGGGATGCATCCCTCGGGGTCCGTCCGTCCGTCCGTCCCTACCTGTTTCACAATGGCATTCCTCGAGTATTGGCGACACATGGCACACAGTCCGCAGGAGGATGGCCAAGGTGAAGTACAGGTTGGCTATCCTGTCGTCATACGGACCCAGCTTGGCCTTGTAGAACGACATGCTGTAACTGTAGCGAGAACCAACACCACTCCCACCACCACCGCTCCCATGGGTCTCGATGGCGCCATTGTGCCTCTCGGGTACGTGGTAGTACTCTGCTGACAGCGCTGCGATGTTGCTGTGCATGCCCGATATGATGCGGTAGAAGTTCTCTTCATCCAAACAGGTCTCGTCGCTCTCCAGGCAGTTCTCACGGTAGATGAGGTACCAGATGTGCCCCCCTGAGTAGGCCGTATACGACGGCCGGTTCAGCGTCAGGTCGACGTAGGTGGCCTTGTGGGAGGCCTCCCCCGATATGAGCTGCGCGAACGCTTCTGGGGATCCGGGCGGCGCCTCCCAGACCGAGCTGAGGTCGTACCTGTCGGTCTCCTTCCACGGTGTGAATGAGAGGTCCTCACTGTGGCTGCGGTCGACGAAGTTCTCGACGGGCTTCATCTGCCATGGCTTGGGGATGTCATCCTCATCGCACTCGCACACCGAGCAGCCCTGAGGATTCTGACCTGTAGGTTGATTGACACACAGCGGAGCCATGGGGCGAGAGGGGTGGTGGTGGGTTCTTCTTTGGTGCGTCTGCGTACACATGGCCTCCATGGCGTAGAAGGGGCATTCTTTGCTCAAGTCGGCCTTGAAGATCCTGAACCACACACACACAGAGATGCAGTGCAGACCAGCAGGCAGTCAGTTACGCCATCCGACTGTTCCTTCACTGCCCTACTTGAAGAATGTTTTGGCCTGCAATCTCTGCAGTATGGGTGTGAGCGTGAGGGCGTCCTGCTCTATCTCCCCAGCCGAGGGGACGGAGGGGGGGAGCACCACTGACGCAGAGGATGTCTGCAGCACGGTGGTGACGGTTACCGCACAGGTGACCCCACACCAGAGCATTGCGGTGGACGACAGTGTCGAGCCCATCTCATTACCCAAGGACTTTGTTCGCCACGTTGCGCCGTGATGCGAGCTCAAATTAGAAGGTGTGTGTAAATGCTTGAGATGTGGTAGGGGATGAAGAGGCGGAAGCGGGCGTTGATGTGGCTGTGGACGCCCCTCTTATTGCTCGCGGCGTTGTTGAGGCGAACCGCGGCATGGCGAGAAGGTCCACAGCGCCACCAGCCAGTGCACTTGTCAGGCAGCCTCCACTCTCTCTCTGCTGCAGATCATGGCCAGAGATCCGACGGCAGCTATGGGCCAGAAGTGAGCCTATCCCACCGCCATGCGTCACACCATTCCTACAGGGGACAAGAACAGACCTCTGATGGGCAGAACCCAACACAGCAAACACAGCAAGCACAGCCAGTGCAGCAGCAGCCAGTCTATGGCCCATATGCCGCGCAGCCCCCCTTGCAGCCCTTCCAGCAGCCAGGGCCCCCTGCCTATCCGCCACCACCATACGTGTACAGCTACCCCATCCCGGCGCCAGGCTACGCCCCTCAGCAACCCATGCAGCTACAACCACAGCCCCAGCAGCAGCAGCCGCCACAGCAGTATGTCACACAACCCCAGCCGCAGCAGCCCATCCTTCCCACAGCAACTTCTCCTGACTTCGCGCCTGATCTCGCCAGCGGCGCCCGCAGCCCTGGGGCGGCGCCCATGAAGCAGCCCCACGCTGGCGGTGCTGGTGGTGCTGGGGGTGGTGGCGGTGTTGGTGGTGGGGTGGTTCCGTCTGCTGCTCAGTTGGGCAAGGCGGCAGATAGGATGGAGAGGAGTATGGAGAAGGTGACAGAGGAGGTCCGGAAGCTGCAGCTGCAAGCAAGGGCGGGCGACAGGGTCTTCGCCAACAAATTCAAACAAGTATGGATGTATGTAAAGGAATAATGAATGAATGAATGAATGAGCCCAGTGGATGTGCGTGTATGTGTGCAGCTTGAGGTAGAGGTTCGTGGGATGAAGACCGACGTCAAGCAGTCCCGTGCCAGGTAGGTGGGTAGGTAGGTAGCTGTGTTGCAAATGCATACAGACACGAGCCCGGCGAATGGTTGTGGATGGATCGGGGTCTTTGTGTTGTGTGTGCTGGGCTGGCTGCACTGCACTGCACCAGGTACAAGGGTGCGGCGTATCTGTGCGGTCAGTTCACGACCTGCAGCGAGTGCGTGCAGTCCACTCTGTGCGGCTGGTGCCCCGCACAGCACAGGTGCTTCCCAGGCAACAGATACGGCGCATTCGACATCGAGGACCAGCCCACGGCAGATGGCGTCCGGCCGGCAGTCTTCTCCTGCCAGAGGTTCTTCTTCAGCTACTGCACTGACGCGGGGCTCTCATGCTCACAATACGACACTTGCACCGTACACACACACAGACAGAGGGAGAGAGAGAGAGAGAGAGAGGGGCTGGGGGCCATGTGGTGAGGGTGTCTCTCTCTCTGTGTGTGTGTGTGTGTGCTTCGTTTCGTCCCTCCATTCCCTCATCGGTTCAGTCGTGCACCCGTGACCCGAGTTGCGGCTGGTGTGCGCACGACTCGTATTGCCTGGAGGGCAATGAGGAGGGTCCGACGGAGGTCGACTGCCCCCGTACTGACCACAAGTCCACGTGGATGCATAAATTCTTAGACGAGCCAAAGGCCTGCGACCCCATGTCAGTGACCAACGGCTAGAGAGAAAACGCATCGCATGCCGTCTGCCCTGCTTGCCTATGGGGTGTGTATGTCTTTTCGGGGTGTGTGTGTGTATGTCAGTGCGATGCGCAAGTTGACGGTGTACAAGACGACAGCTAACGGGGGCCACAGCTCAATAGAGGAGGAGATAGGCGACCTCGAACGACAGGTAGACAGATAGGTACACACCACGCCCCGCCATGTATGTGTAGTGTCTCTGCCTGCCTGCCTGACTTTGTGTGTCCATGCAGCTTCAGGCGGCCGCCAATCACTACTACGAGGCCCGGCAGCTGGAGCAAGCGGCAGAGGCTCAGGCCAGCAACAAGGGCATAGACACGACAACCACACCGCAGACACGGCAGCAGCAACAACAACAGCAACAACAGCAGCAGCAACAGCAGCATCCTGCTGTCCAGGGCGGCACGTCCAACAACATCATAGTCATCCCCGTCCCCGCCGCATCCGCCCCTGCTGGCGGCTACCCCATACAACCCGCACCAATGCCCATACCCATGCAGCAGCAGCAGCAGCAGATGCAGCCAATGCCCATGCAGCAGCCGGGGCAGCAGCCGGTGCCTGCACCGGGCGGAGGCAACCAGACGAACCAGACAACTAATGCCACAAATGCCACACAGCCACAGCCACAGCCACAACCACAACCGATGCCGGTGCAGCCTGGCGTGCCACCCGCGCCTGTGGGTGTGCCGGCGACGGTGAGCCCCTACGGCTATGGCTATGGGTATGGGTATGGTGCCCCGAACAACATTCCATACATGACCACGCCGGCCATGACAGGGGCAGGGGCAGGGGCAGGGGCAGGGGGCCAGCTTATGACCACGGGCACATTACCAGCGGGTGGTAGCACTACCTCTCCGGCGCCCACGGCGCTGGCCGACAATTCGACTCAGCACAACAAAACTAGGGGGTGGTTTGGGTGGATTACGGGCAGATCGCATGCTGCGTGACTGAAGAATGTTTGTGTGAGTGGCGGGTGGGCTCGTGCCACGAAGGTGACTTTCCATGTGCGGGTACGGGTGGTGGTGATGATGTAAATCGCCGATATGTGGCCACACGGACAGATAGACACTGTGTCTCGGTCAATTAAGGCTTCTTACATATACCTCCAATCACCTCACGTCACGTCTCGTCACTGGGTCCCTTGTGTCACTCACATCACAGCACAGAGTCTGTCTGTGTGCACATATCGATGCATCTATGCAACAGTCTCTTCTCGCCCACACGGACCATCAACTGGTCCATCTGCACACACACACACACACACACCCCGAGAAACCACCCGCGCCTGCTTGTGCCTGAACGAACAAATCGCCTGCCTACCTGTATAGGTGTCACATCGACGGCCGGCACGGTACTGCCCTCACCGCTGGCCAGCCAGGTGCCCTTCATGTCCTGCCGTCTTGTCATGTGTTGGTCGCCCAGCAGCGCCTCATCGTGTTCGAGGGTGGTCTCATAGCTGCTGAGAGCTCGCCGGGCCAGCCGACACACCATCGACCATACGCGCCGCTCATCAGCAGCTGCTGGGAGGGCCTCGCCCTGCAGTGCAGTTGTGCAAACATTTGCACGTGGACAATCTGTGGATATCATATGGGTGCATGGTGGTGCTGCGGGCATGGCATACCAACAGGACGGCATCAATCAGGGGGTGGGCGTTGTGGCTGCTGCTCTGGAGGGCTGAAATGAAATACACAAACAAACAGGCAATCCGTGAGTGTCAGAGGTCACTGCACGCCACGCATCAGTGTGTGCATACCGACAGCCAGCCGCAGCGTGGTGAGGAGGTTGTGTGAGATCTCCACGGCCTGCTGGCTGTCATCCTCTTCGTCATCTTGCTGGTGCTGCTGGTGGCATGGCGCCCACCCGATGAACCAGTGCTGCAGCAGACCGTGTCGCTCCAACAGAGACGCATACTCGGCTTGACAAGCGCCCTGCAACACAAAAACAGACACACAGTCATGCCACTGGCTTTAGTGTGTGTGTGGCAGGAGGGTTACTGACACGAGCAGGTGTGCTATGGTCGTCCAGTGCATCGAGCGAGGGGGCCTTGGGCGTTACCTGATCAAAGGGGGTAACAAGAGATGGGGCCATCGATGCTGTTGCCCCGTTGTCACTCACCTCAATGGCGTCGTTTGTGTTGAGTGGTATTGCAAAGCCGTAGGTGTCAATCAGCGACCAGTTGCCCTTCTGGCAGTAACAGATGAACAGCTCCTCACCTGTGGGCGCCAAACAAACAAGCAAACAGACAAGGGATTACACACTCTAGGCTGCGTGCCGACAGATGCCCGCGAGGGATTGCTGGGCCAGGCCATGACCTGCCTGGCTGGTAGTCTCTGCCCGCCCTGAAGACGTACTCGCCGCTGCTCCGCTCGTACCCGCACACACTGAGTCCAGTGCACCCAAACAAGCAGGACAGGCACCACACCACATGACGTCCGTACGTGAGCCCTGCCCTGCCGACCCGACCCCTTGTTTCACGGTCTACCTACCTACATACCTACCTGTCGTCGATGGCAAAGTTGAACAAGTCCCCCAAGGGCACAAGACACCTGACAGCCGCCCGCACACGGACCCGTTTATTATGCACCAAGAAACGTCCATTTGGTTGATGCGTCCCACCAGCAGTCGCGGTCGTTGCTGCTGCTCTCCCGCTCCGGGATCAGGGGGCTGGGCCAGTAGCAGCCGCGTGTCATGACGGTGTAGTAGGCCCACGCCACGTCAGCCTCACTGGGGTGCAGGAACAGACGGCTCACAGAGGGGCTGCTGAAGACCTGAATGAGTGTAGATAACAAGCGGAAGGATGACGAATGATGGATGGATGGATGGATGCTCTCTGTGCTGGTTGCGTGTGTACCAGTGTGGTGAGTCGTTGATACATGCGTCTGACGTCTTGGCGGTGCCTCGCCACCTCCCTCCGCCGGAACGCCGGCTGAATGGCTGCATCGCACGCCAATGCCTGTGTGCTTGATTGATCTGTGACGTGGCGCCTGGCCTGTCTCATTACCTACCTTTGGCCTCCGCATCGGAATAGTAGTACCTGGGGAGGACAGGCAGACACAGTACGATGCGGCCCGTCCCTGCCTCTCTGTCCACTCACGGACAGTGTGGAGTATGTTGGCGGCAGAGATGCCATGTATGCCGCGTATAAGGACTGCTGCCCCTTGGCCCGCTCGCGAAGCAGATGCAGCACCAGCACATCCACCGCACACAGCTCTGCCCTCTCGACGTACAGCGGCCGCACAATCGACTCGCCAATGTCACCTGGCAGACAGACACAGACAGACAGACAGAGAAGCAAACAATCACAGTATGTTCTGCTGATCTTTCCCTCTCTCTCTCTGTTTCTTTCGCTTCTCCTCACTTTTGAGTGCAGATCTGGTGTTCATCAGCAGATCCCCGGGGATGCCAAGCATCCTTTCGCCCTTTCGCACTTGTCGACTGCTGCACAGGCCTCGTCCGGTGAGCGGGAACGATTCCACCGCCAGATCATGTGTCACGCCATGCGCTTGGAGCCATTCCTGCAGCGCATTGAGCGTAGGACTCATACCAGCTTTGCGGGCTTGAACCTGATCGCTTCATCGACTAGAACTCATTCCCAGGCTGCATACGACAGGTGAGCGCATGCACTGTGGTGTGGTGAAAGCACAGGGATTGTCATTTCTGTGTTTGTTGCTGCAGCTGGCGTGAACGAGCCGTCGTGTCGCAGCTTGCACATCAGCGTGAACGAGCCGTCGGTGTCTATCTGTCGCTTCCCCTGTCCCTCCGGAGTGACCAATCAAGATGATTCACCGGATCAGCGCGTCGTTTCCCTCCTCTCTGCTCTTCGTGTTGGTCTGCCTCGCCATCACCTTCCATGCCGGCGAGTCCTTCCTGCCATCGACGCCATCCCATGGCCGTCTGTCGAGGCCGCTACGTGGCCGGCGTGTGTCGACTGCTCGACTGGCGGCACAAGAGGAGCAGCCAGCGGCGACGGCGACGAGAGATAGCCTGCTGGTGGTGTGGGACCTCGACGAAACGTTGATCTGCAGCCGTGAAAGATACCCCATCGAAAGGTCAACGAGAAGGCTGGAGGACCCCGAGGAGCCGCTCCCTGACGCAAGCCAGTGGAAGCCACTCCCGGAGGGGGCCCCTGTGTCTGACTTTTCGGTCGACCTGGTGCAACAATATGACGACAAGGTGGGCATGGAATCATACGAAACACCGCAGTCGCATTCATTGTGTGCATCTGCGAGGCGTTTATTGACTGTCGTGTTGCCATACTGTAGACCCGATGGGTGGAGCGTTTCGACATCTTCCTGCGGCCCGGTAGGGATGCAGGCAGACAGGCAGGACCACAGACACGACACTCACCGTTCTGTCGCTGCCAATGTGTGCATGGCAGGTGCGCAGGAGCTGCTGCAGTGGTGCAAGGACCAAGGCTATGAACAGGCCCTCTTCACTACCGCCATCCAGCTGTACGCAGACAACATCCTGGCCCATCCCACCCTCGATCCATCAGGGGAGCTGCTTCCCCGACGGCTCTACCGAGGCGATATGGACGGATACAGCTACAAGTCCCTAGCTCGACTGCGGCCTTGCCTGAAGCGTGCCGTGTTGATCGACAACGCCAGGCGTTACCTGACAGAGGAGAACGGCATTGGCGTCCCTGACTTTGTCCCGAAATGGGCGCCGTCTATACCCGAGGAGAACGATGCGCTCAAGTCGCTGCTGACGGAGCTGGATGAGCTCGATGACGTGAGACCACGACTCAAGGAGCTGTGGAAAGAGGGGCGCTTCGAATGTGGTCGAAGGGGCGACTGAGTTCTGGCGGACGGGTGCTGGGATGGATCAACTTCTGCCCCCGTGCTTAGGTAGACAGTTGTGCTTCTGAGGATGCATGTAGTTATGATGAAGGTCATACACACACAGGTAGAGATGGGTAGGTTGATGGGTAGGTAGGACGTTGTGGGTGGGTGGACCCATTCGTGATGCGAATGGTGACATCCGACTGACGCTGGCTGGCTCGTTGGATGCGTGATGCTTCGATTCATGGCTTGTGTGACCAGCCATCAGCTGGAGGGACACACTTGTGGGTCACAGTAACTTGTTCAATGCGATGTGGTGCATTCATTCGACCCGCCAAAGCAGCTCCCAGTCCTGCAGGTGGGTCTGGCTATGTACATGACTAGTCACAAACACAGGCAAGAGACAGGTCATCTACACACAGTCCATCCGCGCACGTGCGCATCTCTCTGTACACTGTCTGTCTGTGAGGGGGCTGGCTGGAATTGATAGCTACACCTATCTATGCATGCGATGAAAAGAAGCCGATACATAAGATACACGTCCGCACAGAGTGGACTGCCCGCTCGCCGCAGCCGCACCCAGGGATACGATATACATACCTGCACAACACACACAGATATGTGTTGACCAAAGCTACACACAGCGCTCCGACTCCAGTGTCAGTCGAGCCCTCACATTCGAGTTACTGACGTCAGCCGTGGTGCTGTAGTGGTGGAGCGACTGCAAGGCAACACACACGGACCCGTACATACGTGTCCGTGTGTGCTGTGCGGTGGTATGTCTGTCGGCGTACTGGGTGTATCTGGCGGGGGCAGCGGGACGGGAGCGGCGTTGGCGGGGACGGCAGGAGCACCAGATGCGACACTGAATCAAGACAGGAAGATCGAATCAGACGCAAGGAAGCATCTTGTTTCTTACTTGGTATTGAAGGGAACGTATGGCAGCGTCAGCCGCTCATGAGGACGCGAAGCAGCCTGCAGCAATACATGCCACACACAGAATACAGGACAACAACAACAACATCTATCAGCCTCCCGCTGCCAACGTACCTGCCAGTTTTGCTTCTCTCTCTGGAGGAACTCAATAGACGCATGGTCGCCGGACACCCACCAGCCATTGATCAGTCTGGCTGCCAGCAAAGATCGATCATTTGCGTCGAGCTTCCACATGACGGTGAGAATGAACTCGAACATGTCGCTGCGGCGGATTGTGGCCGCGGCGGTAGATGGGACGGGCTTCTGGAGCACGTCCATCACCACATTCGCCAGGGCACTGGACGCCTCAATCTTCGACAACACCATGCCCCACGCCGTCACAGCTGCACAAACACACAGACGTGTCCTGATGCCCCACATCCCGCCAGTGTGTTCCCTATTCACCTGCGAATGGTCTGAAGGAAATGCCTGCGAGAGTCGGGAGCAGGAAGTCGCGATCAAAGTGAGGCAGGGCCCTACAAGTTGTAGACACAAAAGAGAGCCGCCAACCCACGTGAAGGCCCACCATCTCTGTCTTACTTGGCGAAGTTGGTAATGTCCGGCCATTTGAGCTGCAGGATGCATTGCCGCAAGTACAGCAGTGCGATGGTCATGTAGGGGTATGACACAACAGTGACGCTCATCTCGAGGTCCTTGAGCAGCACATCCCCCACCCCCTTGGCGTCCAGCTCCTCACCCGTCAGGCTGGGGATGTGGAACGACAGACCCAGGTTGGACCCGAGCAGCATCACGGCATAGTCCACGCCGTCGAAGGATGACGATGTGTCGACCACGGTGACACGACCCTCGACCCCTCCTTCCTCTTCCCGCGCCTCCTCCGTACTTGCTCTGGTGTCGCCCCAGCTCGTGGATGGGGACGGGTCGGTCGTGATGGTCGCGTGAAGGGTGTAGCATGCGCAGGCCGATGGGCGAGAAGCCTCAGTAGCAGTCGCTGTAGCCATGATTTCAAATGAGGCAATCTCACGCATGCGTTTCTCGCCGTCTGCCGTCAGGGTGTGTGACAGGTCGCGGATCGACCAATAGGAGTAGTCGAGCAGACCAGGGGCGGGGGGAGGGGCGAGAGAGGGGGAGCGGACGCGGGCACGGGTGAAGATGTAGAGACGCGGCAGGGTCATGTGGATGAAGGCCGTCACAAAGGGGTTGTCATACAGGGGGGCGTCGTATACGCGGAACGGGTGAATGAAGGCCGTCTTGGACTTGCAGGCGTGCTCTCGGTCAGCGAACACGCCACCTGTACACACACACACGCCACCAGTCGGCAAGCTAGAGAACAGTCGAGCCGCACGTACCTATCGCATCACTGAGTGTGGGGGAGTTCGTCGGTATGACGAGAAATCGCGCCAGCCCATCGGCGGACGCCTGCAGCTTGCCGCTCGCGAGATGGTGGCAGATGTAGCTGAGCAGCTTGCTCGCCGCACCGACGGTGGCCGAGTCGTTGCTGTTCCAGCCGTGCTTGAGCAGCTGGGGGTTCTGCAGGGCGACCACGGAGACCGTCGGCGGCCACTCCTCTGTGCTGCTCTGGATGAGGCGCGCCACGGCATCGTGGGTCATGGACTCGATGAGCTGCCGGGCGAACAGAGGGTCCTCAAGCCAGTTGCGGCGAAGCATCTGCCAACACACAACACCATCATGGACACACCGAGCTGCGCCCATTCTTGCTGACGACTTGCCTTGCCGTCGAGTTTGGAGACCATAGTGTCGCTGATGCCGCTGTGGACGTAGTCGAGGGCCTTGACGCAATCCAGAAAGTTGTCTTCTGTGAGGCCGTTGAGCATGGCATTGACGTCCTTCTGCAGCACAACACGAGCGACGTCAATGCCGATCTCGCGGATGACGATGCGGTGCGTCTTGCCCTCTGCAAAACTCCCTGCTTCCAACGCCTGCACCACACCAGACATCACACCACACAGACAAACAAACAAACGAATGAATGAATGAATGAATGCATCTCCGACGGGTGGTTGATCTGCTTGTTGTTGACCGGTTTGAAATGGTCGAATTTCATGAGTACGTCGCGTTTGATGTGCAGCTTCTGGTCCTCGCCGGCCGCGGACTCATCTTCTCCCTCACGCACAAACACCAACTCGACAGAGGGGCTGATCAGCGACTCAGACGATGATGCCATGGCGGGCGGCGAGAAGCAGTGCGACCACTCGGGGGAAGTGGGCAGTTGTTGCCTGCACGATAATGAACAGACGAGGCGAGCAACAGTGAGCGTCATGAGAAGGGTGATGACTATTGTAGTGGATGTCACGTGATTTCTCTCATTACCTGTTGCACACAGTGGCGTTCGCACAAAGCCGGTTAGGGGAGGACAAAACTCGTACTCGGCTGTAAATTGCATCGGTCGAGAAATTCGCGTGTTTATATCTTTGTTGGTTGTTCTCGACTGAGACGCGGTGACGATGGCGTGTCACACCCTCTTCGACCACCACTTCAACAAGGCCCTCGGATGGCCAGCACATGGGTAAGCGAGTAGAGGCGATGTGGGACTGAGCAGATGTTATTTGAGGCATGCGTGCATCATCGCACAACTTCCCTGTGTCGCTTCAGGGTTTGTGGAGAGTGACAGCAACACAGAGAGCGAGGCCCTGAGCGATTTCCGACTCCCACCTCCCCGCCAGCCGCCCGCTGCGCCCGCCACCCCGCCCACGCCTCCGGCCGTCATCCCCAACTATCTCAAGGCGACCAAAGCAACGGCGGCCCGGAAGAAGGCGGCGGACGAGCAGCGCGCCGCACTGCTGAAGAAGCAGGAGACGGTGAAGAAGCTCGGGCGCTTCCGTTTCTAATCGTGTCGTTTCACAGGGCGCTGCACCAGTACGCCAGGTGTTTTTTCATCGTGCCATGCGCTACTATCTGGACACGTGCCTGGCGCTACTACCTCGATTGATGGCCCGCCTCTGGCGGCAAGGGCGTCTCAAGTCCTCTCAGCTCGGTGTGGTGGCCGATTCGTTCGCCGAGCTGGCCGAGTGATTGCATGCGACCCATCGCTGCAGCACAACTGGGTGGCACCGCTGGCGTGGACCATGGCCAAGGTGGGCTGCTCTCACGAGGAGCTGCTCAGACTCATAGGCGAGGCTGGTTCATTGGCGCAGGTGGGCCGCAAGAAATAGACTCATCAATCATAAGACACACTGACGTGTCTACTGGTCGTGTCCATCAATCAGGGCCTAAGGCTGTATCTGGGGTGAGTCCGCCAGGCCTACCACACCGAGATCGACGGCGACCTCGGTGCCACCTACCTCCCGTGTGCACATCAGCAGGGGACAAACTTCAAGTTGTTCGGCCGTTCACAAGTCACGGATGGGGAGAGAGGAAGGACAAGTGGTCTTGTCGAGGCAGTCGATCAGAGCACGCACTGATTGGCTCACACCCACCCACGGGCGTAGGTCTAGAGGCCGGCTAGAAGGCGGGCTGACTGACTGCTTTCTGTGGGCCACCACTGCTTTCGGACTGACTGACTGTACAGACGAGGGAGGCTGCAAGGCGGCTGGGGTTTTTAGCGGCCTCCCCACCCCCACTTATCTACACAGACGACTTTGAAGGCAAGGAAGGCAGATCAGAGAGACAGAGGAGCGGGTTTTCCTGGCTGACACAACTATGTATGGGAGGGAAATACATAGACACAACACGACAGACACGTCCGATATCTCACATGTCCCTCCACTTGTGATATGTTTCACCTGTCGGTCAGATGGAGCCGGAACTGTCCGAAATGGAAACAAATCCACTAGCTCCAAACGGGCCGGCGAAAAGATGTTTGGTTTGAGTGGTGAGCTGGCGTTGGGCGGCGTCGTCTTTCTGGCCGCCAGCCTTATCCCCGAGAAGACACGGCGGAAGCGCAGAAGCCGGATACTTTCCTCTGTCATGGATCACATGTTGGAACTTCTATTGACGGGCCCGTCTGGCGATGGATTCGTCAGAGCATCCAACTATGTACCGACACTGCAAGTGCCAGGCCTACTCCTTCTTTCATGTTCAATTCCTCTGTCTTAATCTTGTGATGTTCCCGTGCTTAGTGCGATTGGCTCGTGCCATTAGCTTTCAAAGCACGGAACGACCCACGAGATTGGTTATATCGCTGCCTTCATTTTATATCGGTGGGGCAATGATCCTAAGATTGAATGTCTGCTGGACCATACCGACGTGTAACGGCGTGGTTGACGTGGTGTGCGGAGACATACACTAGAGGCTGAGACACCATCTTCGTGTGTCTTGGCGGCAGTGAATGATTGGCTCTGGACATCTTTGGGTCGGTTTTCCGCAACTATAAACAGTGTTAGGTGAGTCAGATGAAGGGGTTCTCTGCAAAAATCAAAAGCCTTAACGCCGATCTACCCGTGAACACAATAAAGTGGACACCAACGAGGAATAGCCATCCAACAGCTACTATTATCGATGGACCGCCCCCCACACGCGAGGCCGCCCCGCTCACAGCGAAATCAGGATACCACATCCGCCTATCCACGTACTCACGATACTTGTCATCACCATCGTCACCACCTGTGTCGACGCGCACACGCGATGCGCCCGTGTCGACCCCCTGCTGCACGATGGCGGCGGCGATGTGCATGCTGATGTTGCGGATGCCCGTGAGGCTCGGGTACACGGTGCCGTGCGCCAGTTCATCGTCCGTCACCATCGATGCAAGCGTCCGTGCGGCCAGAGCAAACACCGAGTCGGGGATGGTGCGCAGCTTGGCAGAAATGGCACCTGCATGACAGACAGACAGACAGGCAGGCACATGGGGGCAAATGAGGGCACATGAGGGCACGAAGGAATGTGTTGCATTCACTGAGAAGTAAGTGGTACCTAGGCCAACGCCAGGAAAGACGTAGAGGTTGTTGCCTTGTCCAGGAACCTGTGTGCCACCTACACAGACACGGAGACACAGTGTTGTGCATCATGCGGCTGGTTGGCCGGCTCACCGATGCCGAGTGGCCCTATGGGGACGGGGGCGAAAGGGCTACCGCTGGCGAAGATCGTTGAGCTGCCGCCCCACTTGTACGCTGACACACAGCATCCCTGGCCTTCCTGCATTGTCTGTCTCTCTGTGTGTGTGCTACCTACCCTCTTCAGCGGTGCATTCGGACTTGGATGTCGGGTTTGAAAGAGCGAAGATGATCGGCGACTTGCACTGGCTACGCATCGCCTGCAGACATGTACAAGATACATGAGAGACAAAACTGACACACGGGCTTCTCGTCTGCTCTGTGTGTTGACCTGACCTTGATGATTTTCTCAGTGAAGGCGCCGCCCTTTCCACTCAGACCCAGGAGCATGGTGGGCCTCGCAGCCTTGACCACTGAGAAGCAGACAGGCAATAATCGGTGGGGTGTGTTGTGTGCTGATGGATGTTGTCCATCTTTCTCACCCACCTTCGAGGAGTGTGGGCAGCGGCGGGTCGTCTCGCGCGAATCTCAGCTTGTGTGACTGCATCGCGCCGCTCCTCTGGGTCGTCACCAGTCCTGAATGTACACACACGGTCGACCGGTGGATCGACACATCACATATGTATATCTAACATACTCATAACTCGGTGGCTGACCTTTTGAGTCGACGAGCCAGAATTTGTCTTTGGCTTCCGAGTGTGACATGCCCTTGTCCACCATGTCCTCCAATATCATGTCGGCAATGCCCACCGCCGCCGCACCCGCACCGTAGAAGACGATGGTCTGGTTGGCCCACTCGGACTGCGTGATGCGCATGGCGCCCAGAAGGCCCGCCAGAATGACCGTCCCTGTGCCCTGGATGTCGTCATTGAACGACAGCAGCTCATCCCTGATACACACGAGGTCGCCGTACACGTTTGTATGTGACCGGAGGGCACATCGGTTCACCTGTATTTGCTGAGGATGGGGAAGGCGTGGTCGTTGGAAAAGTCCTCCCATTGCACAAGGGCCGCCGGCCATCGCCGCCGCACAGCTGACAAACAGACAGACAGACAGACAGTTGAAAAGGTCGGTCGGAAGTGTGCCTGCCTGGCTGTGATTGGTCTGCTCACCGCTGACGAACTCATCGACGATGGCGTCGTATGCGTCGCCCTGCAGCCGTGGGTGCTTCTCGCCAATGTACAGCGGATCCATCAGCAGCTGCTCGTTGTTGGTGCCCACGTCCAACATGACTGATGGGAGTAGCGACACAGAATGGATCGGTGTACACACGTTTTCGTGGGGCAGGTGGCTCACTTGGCAGGACCTTGGACGGGTGTATTCCCGCGGCCGCCACGTACAGCGACAGCTTCCCGATCGCTATGCCCATGCCGCTGAAGCAATGCACACAGAACACACATCACTATTTCACGGACCCACTTATTATTGTCTCTTTGTCGCCTCACTTGGCGCCGAGGTCCCCAAGGCCGAGTATCCGACTGCCATCTGACAGACACGGACGCGCGCAATCGACCAGCAACGATCCCTTTTTGCACGTGTTCGTCGTTCCTTCCTCACCCGTCACGACGATGATTTCGACATTCTTCTGCGGCCACTGCCTCAACACCTCATAGAAACGACCCTGCAAACAGCAAAGGAGGCCGAAAAGAGCACCTCAGGTGAATCGCATGGACACAGCGAGTTGCCAATCAGTGTACCCTGAGAGAGGTGGACAGGAAGATGCCCCGCGGCTGCCGATAAATGCGGGAAAAGTTCTGAATGCACAAACGCAGACAGACAGAATCGAGTGCATCCCAAAACGCCGACGCTCACGCATACTGACCTGGCATGCGATACCGACTGTGGGTGTGTACACGATGGGCATCATGTCGACCACATTCTCCACCAGCAGGCGGAAGTAGAGCACCTCTGACCTGTCGTGGATGGACTCCAGATACAAATACCGGTCGAAGTCACTCGTCTGCCGCTCGTAGCCATCCTGCACACATACACACAGCAACACAGGGCACACAGGCAGGAAGCTTCATTGCAATGTACGAGGGCGTGTGCATGTTGTCCTCCGTACCATCAGCCTTATGATCTGCTGATCCATTGTTTCGCTGCACAGACAAGTACAGAGCCAGCAACGAGTGGCTGCAATGATAGTGACAGGTGTCTACGTCACGTACATGGCTGGCGGCAGATATCCGTTCAAATCAAGGCGGTCTCGCTCAGTGGCCGTGAAGGACAAACCCTGACCAAGCACACACGCACATGAAGGGAGGGAGGGAGAGGTACCTAAGTAAGTGCCTGTGTGTGTGTGTCCGTGTGTGTGTGTGTGTGTCTGTGATTGCACCTTGCTTGCGATAGGATCACGCAGCACATTGAGAGCAGATGAAGACATTGTGACCATTGCATGACTGCTGCGCGACGGACCGACATCTGAAGCCGCCACCATTGACACACACAAACACACGCAACACACACGCAGAGCCCAATCAATGAATCATTCATGTGATCTGGTGCTGCCCTCACCTGCAGTGGCGTTTCGCCTGTCGGCCTCCAGCTGGTGCCCATGCTGCGGAGGCTTCAGGCCTCCTGTGTCGCGCGCAATCACGTACAAGATCAGAATCACACACGGGAATACACGCATCATGCCGAGGTGCAAGTGCTCATCAACCGCAGCGACAGCGCCTTCTTCTTTTCCCACATTTGGCATACAGATCTCTGTGCGAGCTTAGAGTGCAGATCTCCTCTGATGACGGCCTCGCATGCATCTGGGTGCGCAGCCATGCTGCTTGCAGCCATCCAAGCGTTGATCTTCGACGTTTCCAACGCTTTCCAGATCTCCTCTGCTGGACCAAGAATGGCGCTGCCCTATGCACGACGGCGGCTGCATGAGCTTCGCGCGAAGCCCAGTGATGAGGATGAGCCGCTGGGGCCGCCCGGCATCGCGCCAGGAAGGAAGGTCTATGAGGAGAGAGATGACTGGGTGAGTGTGAGCATGTCAGGCACATCTCTTCAATAGATATCTGTCTGTGCGGCTTGTGTGCAGGTGACCAAGGCAGTGAAGTTCGTGTTTGGCTCCAAAGCATTGCAAGACCCTGAGCCGCTGGGTTTTAAGCGGAGCGGCAAAGAGGCCTTCCCTGGTCAGTGAGTCGCCCAACACACACACACACTCACACACCGCAAGCGAATGGCCCTCCGTGTGTGTTGCCTGCCTGTCGTCCTGCCGTTGGTTCTGCAGAGTATTACGGCGTCAATCTCGCAGAGTGGGCTGATTTGTTGCCCGAGGATCAAGGCAACAAGGACCTGACACTCATACGACCCCTCCTGAAACAGACGCGACTTGAGCAGCGGCCCATGCAGCTCATCTATGACGCGTCGAGGCACGGCTGGTCATGTCGGTCATTTCACCAGCGTGTGGACAGGAAGGGACCGTGTGTGGTGCTGGCCAGGACCAGGGGCGGGAGCATCTGTGGGGGCTACAATGCCGCGGGGTGGGTGGGGGTTGGGGAGCTCAGGGGAGCGGCGAGCGCATTTCTCTTCACATGGCCTGATGGCGACACATCCAAGAGGCCGCTCAAGTGAGGCTTTCAACACGAAGCACTATGGCCGGCTGTGTCTGCATTTGTTGCTGTGCTGCAGGCTGCCGAAGGTTGGTGGTGCGGGTGTGGCGATCTGTGACTTTCCTGACAAAGGGGTCTCCTTTGGCATGGACGGGTGAGCGCTACCGACACAGCAGAGAGCCGTTATGCATCCGGCGAGAGAAAAGGCGCATTGTGTGTTGGTGTGTTGGTGTGTTTCAGATTTGTAGTGCCGCTGTCGAGCAGAGAGCCCAACGGTCCTCAAATTTCCTACTCCAAGCTTGGGCCCTACTATTCCCGGAGGAAGGACGGCTTTCCCTCTCTATTCTCCGTCCGTAATCGATCGATGTCACGCATCCATGTGAATTGTGAATGTGTGCGTTGTGTGTGGTCAGGGCGTCGAGAAGCGGCAGGCAGAGTTGGTGGAGCTGAAGGTGTACGCGGGCATCTACAAGCCCGGGGAGGCCATACCCGATAGCAAGGTGAAGCTACTGCAGCTCAACTAGATGATCCTGCGGGTGGGTGGGTGTGTGTGAGGGGGTGTATCTGTAAAGTAGCTACAACACGAATGCGTGTCTGGACAGTTGGCAGACACGCATGGAATCAGGGCATCAGAGGCCCGAAGCTCATACACAGTTCGCGGCGGCCGTTGTGTATCTATCTGCTGACCTGCTTTCACAGCCGCTCACACGTCGATAAGGTCAAAGACTCCACAAAAGGAAATCTGTGCGTTAACGGTCGCCTTCTGGGGCGTACATGGCACTGTAGAACAGCAAACCGTTAATCGTTAACGGCATCAGGTTCCTTTCCAGTCAGCATCCTC